ACACTAGGGGCTACTGCTGATGGAATTGTCGGGGTTAGCTTATTCACAAATATTTCTGCCCATAAGGCTCATTCCAAAGCTTCACTGTATGTCTGAGGGGGCTGAGCACCGGCCATCACATCTCGGGCTATTTTTTGTTTCAGCCCATGCACGGACTTATCCGTCCTCAATTTTGGTGTACTCACAACACCTGGAGCAAACCTTGCCAGGGAATTAAATTTCATCGAATATTCTTTCACTGAACTAGTCCCCTGTTGCAAACTGATAAACTCCTGAATCTTTTCATGAACTCGATCAACTGTTCTATATTCTGCCTCAAACAATCTTCTGAAATCTCCCCAAGTCATCGAGGCTATATCGTGGGTATCCTCCATCAATTCCCACCATATACAGGCATCACCCCTAAACAGAAAGCTTGCATACTGAATCTTCTCCCGGTCTGTCATAGGGAAAAGTGTCGCCGTACGCTCCACGGATCTAAACCACTCTTCTGCCACTATTGGGTCTGTCGTACCCTTGAATTCTGACAGCTGATGTTGACTAGGCAACCCATATATCGGCTCAATAAGTTTCTACACTATCGGGGATACCGACCTCTCTCTCTCTCTTTTGTAGGGGTCGGTACCATAACTGGGGTCTTAACTCTCTCCGGTATCGATCTCCCCTGATTCTCTCCAAAGAGTTGCTTTATAATATTATAGATCCTCGCTTCATCGAGGACATAGGGGAGTAGATTCTGAAGGGTTGGAAGGTTCACCCGTACTCATTGCCTTCTTACTGCCTGCTCGAGTTCTACGACTCATCTACATAACACCAACACTTTTAGTCAACTCAATTAACTCATCTACTACAAGTAAGGAAAGAAATAACTTATATTGGTCGGCTACGGAACGTCAATGCGGCGGGAGAGGCATACTGTCAAATCCCAAAACCTTTGCTTTGATCCTAAAAATGTAATACTTTCTCTCTCTAGCTAGTATACTAGTAAAATAATAGTAAAACTCACTAAATATATATAAGAAAATACACATGTAGATGAGTATAAAATAATGGGCCCACATCTAATTTTTCTTTATATACAAAGCTTTACATAATGTAATAAAGTCACAAAACATCAACTTGACAGTGTTGCCAAACCCTTCCGCTTCTTGACGTTCCAAGCGATTGCATCTCACTTACTACTTGCAAAAACATTGAAAACAACGGGGTGAGCACTAATTGCTCAGTAAGTAAACCCGCTATGTTACCCTTCTCTCTCCGTTGCTTAAATTCTGAATTTCTTTCCTTACATCACACTTCTCTATTCTTCTTTGTTCTTTCTCTATTCTTTCTCTGTTCTTTCTCAATTTCTCGATTTCTCACTACTCATGCTAGTAGGCATGGTATCATGCATAGGTATGATGCAAATGCACAAATGGATAGGATGTGCATTTTCTTTTCTGTTTTTCTATTTTTTTATTCTGTTTTTTGTTTCTTTTCTCTGTATCCCTTTCTTTCTTTCTTTCTTTCTGTTCTAGTCTTTCTTTCTTTTCTATTCTTTCTTTTATTTTCTATTCTTTGTTTCTTTCTATTCTTTCTTTTCTTTTCTATTCTTTCTTTCTTTCTTGCCGATCGGACTCGGTTGAGGCATGGATTTGGAATCTTGGCAGTGTGAGTGTATTCTCTAATTCTGGGTACAGTCTTCATCCACATGCACTTCTAACGGATTGTACAATTCTTCTTTCTGATTCTGAGGCCGCTCACTAAAGGCGACATGCATGCGGGGCTAGGTCACTCATGGGTTCCCCATCGCAACAACTTTCTCTTCTCTCATCTTTTTACACTTCTTTATATAAAATTTCAGTTTTGAATTATTTTTTAATATTTCTTATTTCTTTCTATTTGTTCTTTGATACTCTTTAATGCTCTTATGAGTATGTATGCATGTAGATGGGCTCATGCTTATTGTTCTTTCTAAATTCACATGTTTGGATGCAATAATGCAATTGGAATGTGAACATGTCATTCTCGACCATCTACAAACTCATCTCAAGATAACAAATAATCATACTCATACATGTACTTCTCTTTGACATTTCATCAAACAATTTATATGCATACATCAACTCTAATTTGGTTACACTTCTACCTCTCTTCTAAGCCACCAAAATTTGGAATAAAACACACCAAGATTAACGTCAAACCTGTCTAGGATTCACACTCCATAAATTCTACTCCAAATCTTCCATAATTCATCCAAACTCTTATCAAACATCAAGTACACAAACACTACTTCCCGTGGATAAATTCTAACCATCATTCCATCAACAATTCTTCATATATAAGCACATACATGCATAAAAGAAATTCTCTACACAATATTACTCCAATCATAACTAGGGTTGGATTTACTTACCTTAGATGTGAGCAATCCAACACTTTAGTAGTCTTCCTTGATCCAACTCTTTTTCTCTTAAATCCTATGAACACAAATCATAAGAATTCAACACTTTAAAAATTAAATCTTATATCTTAGTGCAAGGATCTTACCTAAGGATACTTGAGATTGAAATTCTACTAAAAATAATCAAGAGCTATGAATTTCCTTGAAAAAGGATTGAAGAAATTTGAGAGAGATTGGGTGGAAGGTGGCGTGAATGGAGGAGAAGAAATGGCTAGGGTTTCATTCTTCAACTCTTGATATAACAAAATATTATCTATAGTTTCCCATTTTACCCTTACACTTTCTATGAAATTCCATCTATGTCCCTTAGTCAATTACCAAAATGCCCTTATTTTTATTAACTTCTCCATGTTATTCTACTTCTTTTCACTCCCCACTTTTTCAACTAATTATGAGTGAAAAGACCATTTTACCCCTAATGAAATTTTAAGGCATTTTCTTCGCCCTTGTTCAAGATAACTTTAACACAATTCAACTAAGGGTATTAGGGCATAAGTACAGCTACGTACCTCGATGTGGGCGTTATATACTATCCATTCAGTTTTTTTTTTTTTTAAAATATAGGAAGTGAATAAAATAATTTCTAAGATTGATATTCATGTACTAAACCTTATATTTGTTTCTATTATACCTCTATTTAATCACTTTCATACTTTGAAGCCAAATTGAATTCTTTCTCTTTGTTTAGGGATAAACCAACTTCACTGTAAAGATCATTTGTTAAAAAACAAATGGAATAGAGTTTATGTAAACCAAGTGTAAATAATATTATTAATTTTTGTAGGTAATTTCAATTATAAATTAAATTTATATTATATTAAATTTAAATGACGCAGGTGTCAAACCATAAATTAAAATAAATAAAAGACCATCTTTTGAATTCAATATACCAAAACATAATATAGGAAAAAAATGAAATTGCCTACTATTGAATTGTAATGACCCAGATGCTGAACAATAAATTTATCTGTGGAATTGTATGAAGCCAGTTGCCGAACCACCATCCATAATTATAATTGGTCAAGGTCTGCTTCAGTCCAAAATCTCACTGCCAAACCATCAATTTGCCTATAGAATTGTAATAAGTCAGATGCCAAACCATATTATATCCATAATTGTAATAGAAGGATTCCTTGAGTTCAAAATCTCACTGCCGAACACTTAATTTGACTATAGAAATGAATTTGGGAATGACCAATATAGCAACAATTGAGATTGTCATGTTCAATCATGATTTTACTATAGAATTCTGATAGATCAAGGTATCCTTGAGTTCAAGATCTCACTGTCGAACCATTAATTTGACTATACTTGTGCTACAAAAGTGTAATAACCAAGTTGCTGAACCATAATGTATCCAAAATTATAATAGCACAAAGTCTCCTTGAATTCAAAACCTCAATACCGAATCATAATGTTTTACACTAATGAATTGTAATAAACCAGATGCTGAACCAAAAATTTGACTGTGAAATTGTGAGCACCCAGTTGTCGAACCATAAGTTATCCATAATTGTAATAGATCAAGGTCTGCGTCAGTTCTATTTCTCACTAATGAACCTTTAATTTGACTATAATATGGTAATAAGCCAGGCGTCGAACCATGATTGAATCCATAATTGTAATAGATCAAGATCTCATTCAGTTCACAATCTCACTGTCCAACCACAATTGTTTTTTATCATTAAGAAATCTATCAAACATCTTTACTATTACCAATTAAAAAAATATGTTAAACAATTTTTAATTGTAATAAGGCAGTTGCGGAACCATAATTCAAAATGAAAAGTAAAATAATTCTTACTATTTAATAATGACATCTCATATTGTTTTTATCTTTAACAAATCCAGTAATTACCGTTAATATTACCTATTCAAAAAATATGCTGAACAATTGTTAATTGTAGCAAACAAGTTGTCGAACTATATCTTAAATGAAAATTAAAAATGGTTTTTACTGATCAAATACATCAAGTATTTAGGTAATATAAAATTGCATCAAAATGACATTAGATATTGTTATTATCTTTAAGAAATCCATTGATCTATTACCGTTTATTTTCACGTTGTTCGAAGAATTTTTTTATGTTCTTGAATTGCTGTATTATTAACTATTTAATAAATATAGTATTGCATTTCATTACATGTGGCTTAATATAGTTGGTTTCGTTGTTAATATAATTTTTTTTGCAAAGTGTTTCAAATACAAGCAAGAAACATACCCGCGACGCATGGGCTTTACACCTAGTTGGATTATAGATGTTGGTGAAGTAATAATTGGGTCATTTCGGTTAATAAAATTTGACAAAATTTTGTTTGGCCGTTGAAAAACTTTAAAATTAAAAAATATCTTAATTTTTTTTCTTATTCAATAAAATCGAAAATTAAGATAATTATAAAATTAAACTTGGGTACTTTATGTTTAGTTCTTTTCCGCTCTTTTTTATTGTTTCCTTGATATTTTAATTTAATTTTATTAAATATATAATCGTTAAGTGATGAGATGGGCCGACTAGCTATTTTTGGGCTTTTACAAAAGCCTAACTTTAGGGATCAAATTCTCTCCTCTCGTCTTTGTAGCCTACTAATGCAAGTTCATACAAAACCCTTAAACCCTAATTCTTTAATAATTTTCAAAATCTTCACTTGTCTAAAAATTCTCATTTGTCAATCAACTATTTTCAGTTTTAAGGACTTTACGTTCTCTCTGCAGGTAGGTAATTTAGTTATTTTCAGTCAAACAGCATAAATTTATTTGCTTTTTTTTTTTTTTTTTCGTTCTTTGCGTGATCGTGATCAGCGGCGGCGATTCGTATAGGTTTCAGCTGCGAGTTTCGGCTTGTCTTGGTTCTTATTGATATTTTTACTATTGGTGTGTTGGATGCAGTATTTGCCTCAAAATGGATGTTAGATTTAAGAATGTTATAATTTTTGGGTTATTTTCGATTTGTGAGAAGAGTTTTAGGTAATTTGATATGCAAATGCAATGTCCTTGATGAAGAGTTTTGCTCTTTTTTGTTTGGAAGCATAATCGGTGTATTGATAAAAATGGAGTATTTGTTAGTTTATTTATTTATTTGCTGGTGGAGTGCGTTGTTTTTATTTATTTATTTACTTTTGTGCTATTAATTTTGCTGGGTTATTTAGTGTTTTCTTTGAGGGTGTTTATATAGCTTCTGAATTTGTATCGCATTAATTTTCAAACGATTGTATACGAGATCATATTTATTGCATTTGTATTTCATGCTTGTTTCTTACGCTTTTGTTGTTGTTGTTGTTGCTGCTGCTGCTATATTTCTTTTGAGATGAAAAGTTTGTTCAGCCATTCTTGATAGATATAAGTTTTTATTAAAAACATTTTCTTGCATCCTCAAGATTAGATTGAAAAGTATTTGCTTTAAAGAATAGCTTATGTCCTATGAAGAAAATTCCTTCTCTGCTTCTGCTTACCCTTGATATTGCTGTTGGTTGTTTTTTTTTTACTTTTTATTCTTTCTGTATACAGAACAGGAAAATGATTTATTGACTACCTCATTATTTTCTCTCTCCAAGTTTCTAAAACTTTTAAATCCTCGAATTTTCTTTTTATATGTTAATTTTTTGATTCACTTTATTTTCTCAAATATAGGTTATCAACAGCCTGTAAAGTAAGAAGATGGCTCTTTTTAAAAATGCAAAACGACCACTTAAGATCTTTCTTTACAACAAACTTAGCACTGCTAGTTACCATACACATGGAAACACTACTTGGGCAAACCATGGGACTCCCATTTCAATGTCCACACAAATCAAGGACTTATTTTCAATCAGATATGCCAGCCCAAAATTTGATTTTTCATCAACTTCAAGAGAGTTCAGTGATCAAGCTCAGGCAGCATCAGAGCAAATGAATCTCATTAAGCAATTAAGAGAACGAACCAGTGCTCCCATAAAGGATGTCAAGTTAGCTCTCGTTGATTGCAATTGGAACATTGGTATTAAGTCCTACATCAGTAACTCTAACTTTTTAGAGACACAAACCAGTTCTATCCCTCTTTATATGTTTGGTTTTGAGTTTTTGTGGGTTGTTTTGTTTGAAGTTCTAATATCGGTGATCAAATGATTTTGTTAGAGGAAGCACAGAAAGAGTTAAGGAAAAGAGGGAAGGTTCTAGCATCAAAAAGGTCATCCCAGACTGCTACTGAGGGTTTACTTGCTTTAGCACAGAATGAGGGCAAAGCTGCTGTTATTGAACTTAACTGTGAGACAGATTTTGTTGCCAGGAATGAGATATTTCAATATTTGGTTAGTGTGTGTTTACCATTTTCTTGTCATTTGCCAATTATCATTTGAACTGACTTGCTTGGACTGATGGACTCAAAACAGTTTTTAACTTTTACCTTGAGTTTCATTTCTTAAAATTTTATACTCATGTCTCCCATGTTACTTTTCTTCTAGGCCTTATCTTTGGCAAAGCAAGCTTTACTGGCTGAAAATGTTTCACAGCAGGCTTCTGGAGTCTATCCTGTTGGGCCTGAGTACTTGGAGGTAATAAGTTTGAATACTGAATCTGATTATTTAATCTGTTATAGTATACAGCAACTCCTCTTTAACATGATAAAACACGTTTCAAGGACGTCATCTAGAGCTGTACTTCATGCTCAAATCTCAATAGCAATAACACTTGTGGTTTGAGGACCTTAGCTGATCAGCATATTTCTTGCCTTTGATGGATTGATCCCTGCATTAAATTTAGGAGAATAGGCTGCATGTACAATAGTTATGATTCTGTTGGAATTTAGAAAACTGGCTAAATGCTCCAGCCTTGTTGAAGTTGCCTCAATATTCATGAGCTCGTGGCTTGGTTACTTTCATATTCATTTTAACGTTTTCTATCTTCAATCATATTCCTTGATTTAGATTCATTTGTTCATTTGCAAATGATGACTGGTCTGAACAAAACTACCCTTTTTTTTTTTTTTTAAGTACAATTCTTGGAACCTACTGTAAGTGAATTTTTCATATTTTACTACCAGGGTTTACAGTTGAATCTTGATCATCCAAAAATTAGTGGAGAAACAACTGTTCAGAATGCAATTACTGAAGTAGCTGCAATTATGGGGGAGAATGTGAAACTGAGAAGGGGTTTTGTGATGTCTGCATCTGTACCTGGGGTTGTTTCAACTTACCTCCACACAAGCCCTCAACCAGGTGCATTTAAAAAATAAAAAGAAAAAAAAAATTGCTTTCATCTCCTTTCTTGATCGGTAATTTACTTGCATGTATTGACACAGACTTAGGCCTAAAATGTAAATTTCCCTTGTTTCAAGATTCTATCTTTATCACAATTTGCCAAGATTTTGCAACACGACTGAATTTGAGCAAACGAAGCATTTGCTTTGGCCTTAACTGCTAACTGTTTGATCTGGATGTAGGATTGGGTCGTATTGCTGGACTTCTATCTCTTGAAGTAGAGGATGAAAAGTGTCAGCTGGATCTTTTACAGCGTGTTGGATCAGAATTAGCAATGCATGTCGTTGCTGCAAAGCCATTATTCTTGACAAAGGAACTAGTTTCTTCTGATGCATTAGAGAATGAACGAGAGGTTCTTAAATCTCAGGTAGTCAATTCCATTGTTTGATAGATCTCTATTCCTTTCAGTTACGTAAGACTTTTCAGGCATCATAACCTCAATTCATTTTATTGAGGTATTTATGGATGAGTGATAATCTGACATAGACTAGTTGTTCTATTTTTTTCCCCTCCTTCCCTTTTCTTTTAACGTAGAAGAAAATGGATACATTAAATGAGCCTAGTTATAGGGATGGTCTCACTTTGGCTCGGTGAACATGTAATGCCGCAAGTGAATTCCTACTATGTAAGGCATAGTGCTATCCTCTGTTTTTTTATCTAAAAGTGCCATCTGGTTAGATATGCTATCTTGCCCACCCTCAGTAGAGTTTCGAACTGTCTCAAGGCCCCTACGATTATCCCATCTCTAAGAATCTCAGGACTTGTGAAGAGGTTACCTGACTGACTCCTGCGCTGAACTAACGAATCTCATTTTTCATGTTCTCGAAAGTGGAGTGAACTATCTTTTCGAACCGGAAACGGGATTCACAATCGCTAGAGTGCGATGGTTCGTTCGAGCGAGTGGATAGGCAGCGCTCAATTACGTTATTTTCGAAATTGGATATTGGTTGAGTAAGTAGTCGACTTAGACTATCCGATATGAGTGACGGCAAGATGACTGATATGAACTCTCTTTTAGCGCCCAAAGAAAAAGAGTTACCAAGGGGATTGATTTATGGCGTTGTCTTATTCAGCAAAGATCAAAGATCCCAATCCAATTTCCAAAATGAATATGGATTGGTATAATGGTAAATGTATTCATTCAACAGATGTTATTGTCCTGAAAAGTGGTTATATTCTTATTTCAGTTTGTAGTGTAGTGCAGCCAGAATCTTCTTGCAAGGAATGTGTATTTATCTGCCTTCGTGTACAATCTAACTACTTGTTAAGCAATTTCATTTTGTGTGTTGCAAAATTTTAAATCATTATCTTGGTGTTGTTTGTCAGGCAGAAAGTACAGGAAAGTCTCAGATGGCTGTAGAAAAAATGGTGGAAGGTCGTTTGCGTAAATACTATGAAGAAGTTGTACTTATGGAGCAAAAATTTATCGTGAATGATACTTTACATATAAAGGTAGGCAATCTTACCTTGTATTATAGACTTCAATGTCAATGCCCAACTTTAGTTGTCTTTGTGTTTTTGGATTTTAAAGTTCAAGTAATAAATATTAGATGCTTGAATCTTTTGATTAGCATGACCTTTGCACAACCCTATGGTTGGATCTACTTTCTTTTCTGTGTGGTGGTCTTCGAGTTCCATTTAATTCCTGAGATATGGAATCTTGTACTGTAGTTTGTACCCGCATAAATGGTGCCAATGTGCTTGCAATTATGCAGGCGACATGTGGGTTGATATGTTTGCCCATGAATGTGCACACAGTTGGTGGTTGGTTCCACACTTTTATTTTTTATTTTTTTATCTTCTTTTTATGTCTGATATATGAAATGTGGTTGTTGATTAAATATGCTACACTATGCCTTGCAGACGCTTTTGGATAATCTATTCAAGGAAGTGGGCTCACCTGTGAAGATTGGGAATTTTTTCAGAATGGAAGTAGGAGAAGGAATTCAGAGGTAGAGTCAACTGGTTCTTCACTTTGCTGTTTTTTCTTCTTTTGTTGGACAAATTTTTTTTTCTGGTATCTAATTTTCTAAAGGCAAGGCTTCATCATAAGCTGCTCCTTTCCATACCCACCTACTCTGAAAATCTTGGTCAGGTTGGCCATCATTTTCTGGACCTTTCCACGATCCCTATAGAGTTTTTCAGCGAGCTAACAAAAATTCTTCTTATTCTGTAAATTTGATTATGCCATGATATAATGTACATGCATATTTTATAGAGACGATATGTAACTTTTAGTGAATGTTGCTGTCTTATGTAATGCTTTAATATTATGAGTGACTAAAGTTGTTTCTTATGAAACAGTAGCAATATTTAATTCTTTTTATTTTACTTTTCCTTTTCATTTGTTCTCCAAATCTTTCAGTTTTCCAATGAATTCCTCTCAAAGTTTGAACATTTTGGCACTTTATGGGGTCTTCAGGCATTTACCTTGTATCAACACTGTTGACATCTCATTGCTTGTGATGAATATACCTTTTGCTTCATAATGTTCACAAACTTATATTCTTTCTCCATCTATCCATCTGTTTCTCTCATTTTTTTGGCACAGTTGTTTCAAAGACCCAAAATCAGGAAGTTCTATGACAGTATTTTTTTTATTTTTATTTTTTCTGATAATAGTTTGATTGGTTAGTATTATAGGAATAAGCAGGAAAAAAAAATTCAAAACACTGTTCCTTTTCTTGGCCTTTCCTTGCTCTTTATTCATTCAACTTTAGCATTAGTCATTAAGGTACAACAGATTATGTCACGGGTAGATTTGAAGAAGCAGATTTATGTTTTCTTGCATCTATGAGGTTGCTATGATACATTTATATTGTTGTCAAAAAGTGAGATTAGCTTTCATATTTGACTTTAAAAACACTTAAGAGGCATATATGTTTATCTAGGGGATTCTGTGATTGGTATGATCTTTTCTCTTTTCTCACTTACTATTCCTTGTTGGGGTCTGAGGTGAGCTTCTGTAGCTGAGCTCATAATTTTGAAGCCTTCCAAAAAAAAAAAAAAAAAAATAAAAAATTCCAAATACAGGAGCTATCATATGTTATTGATCACTTGTAATTTTGTAGGCTAGAAGCAGCCAGTTCAGATGAACATGTGGCTCAAGCTGCGTAATTTGAGATGATAATGGCCCTTCATATGCGAAACTCGTAAAGATAAGAGGTTGCTCTTAAGATCACTTTGGAGAGGTTCTCTTATTCTTCTTGCATCTGTGGTTGATCTCAGTATGTTTCCATCACTTCCACAAGTTCCTAAAAAATGCCCAAATGAGACCTTTTTGTAAAAGTTAATGGATGAACTAGTGTATTATTGTTATGAAATACTTTTCTTTTTCCTTATTTATTGAAGGAATTTTTCTCCCCATCAAATAAGTCGATAATAATAAGAGGATTATTGTTTGTAACAGTTTGTTTCACTTGAGACTGCATAGTAGTTTTTGTACCGAGTCGTTGAGATTGCAATTCTATTGAGACCTTCTTCCTCTCACTAATTTTCTTCTTGTATCCTTGATTCAAACATGATAAGTGATTGAATTGCCCAATGTAGAATGTCGAATTTATATTTTCTTGCTCTTGAAGTCAGAGAGTTATGCAAACGAACTAAGATCCTCTCATAGGACAGACATTATGAGAGCTCTAGATCGATTGTTTAACTGCTTTTTCTGTTTCTTATAATAGTTTGCTTTCTCATATTAATGGTGGATTTCTGGATTGTTAGTAAATAAAGTTTAGTAACACTAAGAGCTCTTTGTTTGGCAACTAACATGTCGATTCAAGAATTACAATAACTTTTCACATGATTTTACAAGACAAAGCAGCCAGGAAAACAAAGATGGGGTGAGAGTTTGATCATTCCAAGCAACAAACGGGTGAACTCTAGTGGAATTTAAGGCTAGTCAATACATTGTTGTTGACGGGGTCAGCCAAATGATCCAACAGGTTTTGGTATGGCCCAACTCCTGTAACAAGCCCTTGAATAAAGTATCCCAAAACTGCCAACATAGCCAATCTTCCATTCTTCACTTCCTTGAGCTTCAAATCCTTCATTGACTTCTCATCTTTCCCAAATCCTAGAGGGTTAAACAATGGGCCTCCTGGGTATGCCGGATCTCCGGAACCACCCAAAAATTTCTCAAACCCCAAGAAATATTGCTTGCTCATGGATCCAGGTTTGGCCCAGTCCTGGAATCTCCTGTGCTCGGCGAAGCCCATGAGAGCCAATTCAAGGACAAAGAGTGTGTATGGGTCAGCCCAGTAGTTGTATGTTCCAGCTGGGGGAATCACCCCTGTTTTGAACCAAGGGAGAGCTGTTTCTGGTGGAATAAGACCAGCTTTGCCAAGAATTTCTGGTGCAATGGCACCAGCTGCACCCAACATGGCGAACCGCCCGTTAATGATTTCTCCATAGGCTAGCCACTTGGGTTCGATGAACCCTCCTGTGCCTTCTGGGTCTGAAAGACCAAGTGGGTCGAACCCGTAGTCTCCTGGGAGGCTGCACAATCAAAATTTAGAGACATTAATTATGAGACGTTACGCCAGTATTCCCATCTCATGATTAATAGATTGTCTATACAACGACACGACGCATAACATATACTCATCTTATGATCGATTGGTTTTACATACGGCAGTTGTTGTTGGAAGTGTAATTATATTGAGAATTTAGAGTAACTCTTTACCTTCCATCCAAGTATGAAAGGCTCTGTTTGGAAGCAAACCACAAGGGTCTGTCAGCTCCTTGCTGAAAAACACACAACCAAACTAAAGTTACTAGAAATTTCAAGAGGTTTTATATTAAGAGGCTTATTTAAGCAGACAAAGGTTTTGATCTAATCAACCTAGAAATCCGTAGATTAGAGCTCGGTGAAAGCAAATATGCTACTAGACTTATCTGATACGTAATATCAACAATTCTTTTATTCATATCTCTAATGTCACATTGCAACAAAAGGTTTACCAAAATACTTGAAAAATGAAAAGAAGGTACCTTAACAGGGGGAGTAGAGGCTGCCCTAACAACAAAGGATGCTTTTCTTGAGGACCCAATTGGGGATTGGAGAAATCTTGCTCCTAGAATTTGCCTAGCAGTCTCCACAGAGGAAGTAAGAGATGATGAAAGAAGAGCTTGTGCTACCATGTTATGGTGTTTGTTTTCTTCACGAAGTGTATGTTGTGGTAAAGGGTCTGACGAATAAGTGTAGGTTTGAGTTGCACAAGAGACAAAAGGCAAAGAATGAGTGCCAATCTTTGCCACAATTTCTGGGCTTGAAATCTTAGTAGATATGAGAGATGGCCCAAGTTTTAGATTAGGTTAGGATCTGGTTGTCCAACAAGGAATGTCCACGTGGAGTTATTGAACTAAATATTTGGATAAGAGATATTGCTCTTATGATGCAAATGATGTTAAGAACTGCGTTGCCACATGGCAGCCTAAAAGCCATTATTTACATTTCTGGTTGCCTCTCATGTCCTCAAAATATCTAGTATTATCAAACTCAAAAATCTTGGATTTTACACAACATGCAATCTAGGTTATTATCGCTAACTTCCCCAAAGTTTCAAAAATACTTGTAAGACCCCTAAGTANTTAATATTAAAGTCTTATTAATTTCAATTTTAATGTTTATAGTTTCATGTATAATATTTGAGTTTTCAATATATTGTTTTAAGTTTCAAATATTATAGATACTATTTATAGGTTTTAAGTGTTTTGGTGTAAGCATCAAACTCAATGTTATAAATTTCAAGTTTTTTAGTTTATGTGCTACGTTATGAGTTTCATGTATATTATTTGGGTTTCAAGCACTACGTATAGATATTTAATGAATGTTAAAGTTTTCAGGTGTGATGTTACAAGTTTCAAAAGAAATGTTTTCTCAAATCTTTTAAATTTTAAGTTATATATTATTGGTTTTACAATTTATTTTGTAGGTTTTTGTTGGAGTGAATCAAGGAATGATTGATATTTTGGAGTAAATCAAGGATTGATTGATATTATGTTTAATATGAGTGAATCAAGGAATGATTGATATGTTGGAGTAAATCAAGGATTGATTGGTATTATGTTTAATACCAATATTTCGTCACCTTTTCTTGTGTGATTATGACATTATGGAAAATATTATATTTCATTTTTATTCCTTTACACTTTAGTATAAAAAGACAATGCATACTTATACAAAACACACAATTGAGTGGAAAACTATTCTTCTCCATTCTTTCTCTCTAGCATACTTAGGCAATCTCTGCTTACTCTTCTCTTGCCTCTCTTGCCATATTCTGACATGGTATCAGAGTATCTAGGTTGAATCAGCTTCCGGTCATCTAGCCTCTCTTTTTGTCCTTGCAATTCAAATAGATACTCGGTTAGTTTTTTTTCTGACCAAGCTTCCGCTAGCATTCTAGCTTAAGTTTAGGATAGTGAGTAGCTAGTTATATGGTTATATCCATGTCTAGGAAAATTCTGTCAACATGACGATAAAAGTCTAATGAGACTGGGTTTTAAGTGAGATCGTTTGTGACCCCTCAAGTGTTTCCTGGTGCATATTAAATCATTTTCAGCACTTACTACTATCCTAAGTTATTAAGTTGTTCCACCCACTCTAGCCTTAAGTTTTGCGAAGTTCTTGCAAAACCACATTGACACAATGGCACTTGGGTGCAAGAGTTAGTTTATATTTAAATTGAATTCATCTTTTAGAATGGACCAGTTTGACAAGAATATCAACACACAAAAGGATTTTCTTTTATATGGGGACATGGACGGCCACGATGTATCCAAGCACTCTGATGGCCAAAAGGTCATCTCTCTCTCGCCATCATCCAATGACTCCTATGACGCCATGTCACGCCTCCAATCAAAGGGTCAATTGGGCCTAATGCAAATGGATCCAATGGTAATGGGTCTAATGGGCCAGCATCAAAGAATAATAAAGGGATATTTTTTGTGACTATTGCAAACGGAGAAACCATACCCAGGATACCTACTGGAAATTACATGGGCGACCCAATATGTCAAACAAGGATAAAACTAGAAATCCTCCAGTTTATCATGTAGTCGCGAATATGCCTTCAAGAAATCAAATTTCAATACCTCTGATTAGCACAGAACAATACAATCAATTGATTCAGATGTTAAATCACATTTCGCAGGCAAATACCTTGGCATCCTATGTAGGTACATCTTTTTGTCTAAATTCTTTTTCAAATAATATTTGGATAATTGGCTTAGGGGCAAGTGACCACATTGTTTGCAACCCGAATTTTTTCCCTACAACCACTAAACCCATCAAACCATCTACATCCGTATGCATGCCAAATAGTAATAGTGCTTTAGCTTTTCATATAGGGAACGTCTGTCTCTTAGGGGGTGTTTGTCTAAGCTTATAAGCTGGTCAAACTTGCTTATAAGCTCTAAAATTAAGCTGACCTGTTTGTTTATAATCTTTTTGAGCTTATAAGCCAAAAAAAATAAGTTGGGGGGGAGGTACTTTTTTTTTTTTTTGGCTTATAAGCACTCTGCTTATAAGCTAGTTTGACCAAGTATATTACCACATTATCCTTATTTAATTTTAAAATTCCATAGTATAACCTTATTTAATGTAGTACCCCTTTTAGTCATTTTATAATAAAATATACTTATAAGCCACATTTCACCAAACACGTCAACTACTTATCAGTCACTTATAAGTACTTTAACCAAACACGTAATTGCTTAAAATTTCAAATGCTTATAAGCTAAAATTAGCTTATAAGTACTTGTTGCTTATAAGCTAATTTTCATAAGCTCAGACAAACACCCCCTTAGAATAGTTAATCCTTAAAGATGTCATTTTTGTCCTTGCCTTTCATTTTAATCTTATTTTCGTGTCAAAAATTTGCACCGATAATAGATGTGTTTTAAATTTCCTTCCTACTACATGTTAATTTCAAGACCCTTTGACTAGGAAACTGATGGGCTTAGGTAGGGCCCATCATGGCCTATACTACTAGACACCTGGTTGATTTTTTGAAGTTTTATCAGAGTCTAACAATTGTATTACACAAAATAAAAATCCTCATTGTAATATAAATATCAATAAAATTTATTTATTTTCCATCAAAGATAGGGTTATAGTGCATCCATTCCTCAGCCTAAATGTCTGATATGTCTCCTTGTAAAACAATCACATACTTGTTTTCCTAAAAGTACGACCTCCACCACTCATCTTTTTGCCTTCGTTCATCTTGATATTTGGGGACCGTATCATACTCCAAATCACAATATTCGATGATTTTTTCCAGGGGACATAGGTATTTCCTATGCAATTCAAAACTCAAACCCTTACCCATATCCATAATTTCCTATCCATGGTACAAACATAGTTTCGCACAACAGTGCAGTGTATCAAAACCGATAATGCCTGTGACTTTTTAATACTCAACGCTTATCTTTATTCATTTCCCTTGGAATTCTTTATGAGAGTTCTTGTATTTATTCCCTACAACAAAACGGGGGAGTAGAACGGAAACATCGTCACTTGTTAGAAGTGGCGCGAGCCCTCAAACACCAAGCCTAAATTCCCATATATTTTTGGGGAGAATGTATGGTCACTACTACCTACCTAGTCAATCTCATGCCCACCGAAGTGCTTGGAGGAAAGACACCTCGTGAAGTTCTCTTTATCAAGTCTCCTAACACTAGCCATCTTTGTGTTTTTGATTGCCTTTGTTACTCTGCTATTATTAGTTCTCATGAAGGATTTGGCCCTTAGGCTACTCGATGTATATTTATGGGGTATCCCATGCTCTAGAAGGGTTATCGGCTATATGATCCAAATACTAGCAGATTCTTCATTTCTCGAGGTGTTACCTTTTATGAAGATGTGTTTCCCTTTAAAGACACCAGCCCTTGCCAATCAACTCCTCAACATTTGTCTACATTCATGGATGATGACTTCTCACCATCTCTACCAGGACCTTGTCTTACCATGGTACATGTTCCTGGCCCACCAACTCCACTAGATTCAAGATCTCTAGATATCTATACTGACTCTCCTCCAGTCCTTGTTGATATACCAACAGGCTCCTCTTCTGATGAAAATCCTTCGACATTGCTTCCTATCATCCATTTTGAAGAAACAGTTCCCTCACGATGATCGTCCTGTCGCATTCTACCTCTTATTTAGACAACTAATTATGTTTGTCCCACCATTCCAGATTCCTTAGGTACTACTTATCCAACCTCCAATAATGCCCATTTTAACCAATTGTCTCCTACACACTGGATTTGTGTTAGCCAAATTTCTACTAATCGGGAGACCTTTTGGTACTCCGATGTTGTTCAACACTCTCATTGGCATCAAGCTATGACTGCTGAACTTAATGCCCTAGCTAGTAATCATACATGAGATTTAGTTCCCCGTTCTTCTCATCGGACTCTTATTGGCTATAAATGAGTTTATAAAATCAAATACCACACTGATGGTACCGTTGAAAGATACAAAGCTCGTCTTATTGCCAAGGGCTTTACTCAACGAGAAGGCTTCGATTACTAAGAAGTTTTTTTACCCGTTGCCAAGCATGTCACTATGCAAGCCTTTCTCTTTGTTGCCTCTGGCTGAGACTGGCCACTACACCAAATGGATGTTCATAATGCTTTCTTCATGTGGATCTTCATGAGGAGATTTTTTTGGAATTTCTATCGAGTCTTCGCTGACAGGGGGAGAATATAGTTTTTCGTTTGTGAAAATCACTATATGGCTTAAAACAAGAATCTCAACAATGGAATGAGAAATTTATTGAGGCACTCACAAGCATAGGATTCAAACAATCTAAACACGATTATGCTCTTTTCTCTTGGTAGCAAGGTAATTCTTTCATCGCTCTCATAATCTATGGTGATGATATCCTTATCACAAAAAACAATGAGACGACCATTAAAGCACTGAAAGATCATCTGAACAAGCAATTTTGTATCAAAGATTTGGGAGAGCCAAAATAGTTTATGGGAATTAAAATTGTTAGATCTCCAGTTGGTATATCCCTCAATCAGCATAAATATGTCCTGAAACTCATATCAGATTCTGGATTATCAGCTTGTAAGCTGAATATTGTGCCTGTTGAACAAAATACTAAACTCACCACTCGAGAATATGACAATGGGATATCATCGTTAGAAGTTGATCCACCTATAAAAGATCCCTCACATTATCAAAGACTTGTAGGGCGATTCATCTACCTTACAATGATACGACTAGATATCAGCTATGCGGTTCACATCCTCAATCAAATCATGCATGCACCAAAACAATCCCATATGGATGCAGCAATGAAGGTTCTTAGATATTTGAAAGGATGTCCTGGCCTAGGACTTCTCTTACCCCGAGATGAAAACTTGAGTATTACTGCACGTTGTGACTCAGATTTGGCTACATGTCCAATGACAAGGAAATCCTTTACCGGTTTATGTGTTAAACTTGGAGGATCACTCATTTCATGGAAGACAAAGAAGCAGTCAACAACCTTACTTTCATCAGTAAAAGCTTAATACAGAGTCATGGCCAAGACCACGTGTGAGATTATCTGGATTCTTGGGCTTTTAAAGGATCTGAAAGTACAGGTAAAGAGGCATGTCACTCTATACTGTGACAACAAAGCTACAAATGACATCGCAACAAATCCAGTATTCCATGAAAGAACAAAGCATATAGAGATTGATTGTCATTTCATCAGAGAAAAAGTTCAAGGAGGTATGATCAAACCTATGCACATTCGAACCACGAAATAGCTAGCAAATATTTTTACAAAACCAATATGTAGCAGACAACATTCACATCTACTACAAAAAGCTTGGAGTTTACGACATATACAAACCACAAGCTTGAGGGGAAGCGTTGGAGTGAATCAAGGAATGATTGATATGTTGGAGTAAATCAAGGGTTGATTGATATCATGTTTAATATCAATATTCTATTACCTTTTCTTGTGTGATTATGACATTATGGAAAACATTGTATTTCCTTTTTATTCCTTTACACTTTAGTATAAATAGACAATGTATACTTGTACAAAACACACAATTAAATAGAAAACTATTCTTCTCCATTCTTTCTCTATGGCATACTCAGACAATCTCTGTTTAGTCTTCTCTGGCCTCTCTTGCCTTATTCTGATAGTTTCATGTATAATATATTAATTTTCAAGTATTAATTATAGTTTTTTCAAATTCATGTTAAAGTTTCAAGCATAGCAATATCAATTTCAAACATAACATCATTGGTGTCAAGTCCTTCAAATTTCAAGTTTTATATTATAAATTTCAATAGCATTGTTTTTCGTTCAAAGTATTTTTTTATAGGTTTCAAATCTATATTGAGGGCTTTTAACTGTAATGTTGTTAGTTTCAAATCCAACGTTCTAGGTACCAAGTCATTTTGGTTTCAATGTTAATAATTACAAGTTTTATATCATGATTTTCCAATTTTATTTATATGTTTCAATACCGAGTTAAATGTTCCAAATCTATTGTAATTGGTACCGAATCTTATTGGTTTCAAATATAATGTTATTTATTTCCTGTTTTACTTATCATATTTCAATTAAATTGTTTCAAGTTTCAAATATATTTTCTAAAAATATACATATTGTTGTAAAATATGTGGCTTTCAAACTATTTGTCACCTTGCTTATCAAATGGATACATAGCCCGTGCAAGTTCACACGACGACACATGACCCATGATCTGTCATTGGATAACTGCTGTTTATGGGAGGAAAGACTATAAATAGAGCTCATTTCCTTCATTTTAGGCAAAACTCAATTGAGAGAAGAGTTAATAATAACCTTTTTATTTCAACCCTCTTTGTTCTGCTCTTTGACTTTTCAGTCTCTCTTAGTTTATTTTATTGCAATTACACCATTAAAATTACAACACGTTATCAGCAGGAGGAGCTCAATAAGTGTAAAGGTTTTCTTCATTCATTTTATTATACATTATATAAAAAACTACCATTATGAGTGTGCTCTATGGTTGCCGTAAAATAAATATTCCATATTAGAAAAAACGGTCAGTTCCTAACAGTAATATATTTGCTATAATTGTTTCTTGAACTAACCAATTGACTTTATTTCTTTATACGTATTGATAATGTTGTTACATTTTGCTATTAATGACTTAATTGCATTACGCATTTATTTTTCTGAGTTGTATTATATTTTTTAAGACACCTAAAATTATGGCAACTTGAAGTTTTGTAAATAGAAATGATAAATGAACCCGGAGCTCCAAGAATCAGTCCCCATCATGAACTTAAAGTTTTGAATTAAAATTTTGATTTTAATATTACAATTTGAAGTTTCAAATGTCAGAACCTGAAGTCATGAGTTGTGATTTTGATATATGGATTCAAAACCTGAAGTTCTAAGATTTTGTTATCAAAACCTGAAGTTCTAACTATAATTATTACTTTCCTTTTATTACACAAAATTTATTGTTATTGTTGTCATTTTATTATTCTTTACTTTTTATGCAATTTATTGTTCCTTTACAATTATCGCATTTTATGTTTTATATTTTTATTGTTGTTTTGGGATGTCAGAATACATCCTATGACATTCATCTAGAAGATGCGCATTCAGGAAAGAAAATTACTTATCCTTGTAGGATGAAGTAAAATCCTAAGCTATGCAATATTCTAAGGAACTTGAAGTTCTAATATAATTCTTTTACTTTAATACCTGAAGCTTTAAAGCTTTTTATGAGATTATTAACAAATGATCTATTTATATGTTAAACTAACTTGTACACTAATTACATAACTGTTTTTGGAAATGTCGAATGGACCCTGGACACTATTCTCCACCTAGAATCTGTGACCTCGGTGAAGTGATTGAGGGAGGAAATACAGCGTCCATGCAGGACAAAGCGAAGGCTATTAGTTTCCTTCAACATCATATCCAAGAACGATTATGAGCTGAGTATGTGGATATAAAAGATCCACTTCAATTATGGATTAATTTGAAAGTGAGATTTGAATATAACAAATCGATAATACTCCCAATGGCTCAATATGACTGGACTCATTTGCGTCCACAGGATTATAAGTTTGTCAATGAGTATAATTCTACTTTGTTTAGATTTGTTTCTAAATTGAGATTGTGGAGAAATAATATCTGAAGAAAATATGTTAGAAAAAACATTATCCACTTTCCACCCTTGTAATATGCTCCTACAGTAGCAATGCTGAGAACGCGACTTTAAAAAGTATTCTTAATTGTTAGGGCCAAAAATCGTCTTGAGCTTGACGGGGCCCAATAACGAAATAAACATGTCACGGCCTAAGGCCTCAACCCAATCCCGATTGGGCCCACGCTTAAAATCACCTTGCGACCTACCCACTCTATGAGTTGGGCTATCCTATAAGTTAAGCTAAACTGGGTTTCAGCCCATTAGCCTGCAACAGAGTATAAATAGGAAATCAGAATCTCATTCTATTTCCTCTTCTACTAAGATTTCAAATCTCACTCAAACTATTAAACTTGATCTGATAAGGTCAAGAAATCATATCTCTTTCATGATAGGGATTATCTCCCAAAATATTGGAGACGGGAATAATTGAAATATGATAAATGAATCTTTTGAAGATGACGATTTTATAGAGGATTAAGACGTAGTTGGACTTTTTAGTAAATGGAAAAACAAGAAAGAAGATGTTGTTATCACCTTTTGTCCTTTTATCACATCACAGTGTGATTCACTCAGGAATAAAAAGATGCTTTTTGATCCTATAAGTTTCACTTTTTCACAATTCACCCCTTTAATGTTTGACATATATATATATATATATATATATATATAATGAGTATGCTATGGTTCACAACTTAATCTCACAACGTTTGATGTGATAATTTGTCATTGATTAGCTTGGATAAGTAAAACCCTTTTTACGAGCTGATCATTGGCAAACTTTCACATCGAAGGTTATGAGAGAACGATTGAAATTGGAAGTAACCTAATTACTACATATCAAGTCTATATATATTCACTATTAAAGAGGGGTGATATGATTTACATATTTTTAATTTTTATTTTTAAAAAAGCCTCCCATAAAAGGGTAATTTGATATTTTTTCTTTTAAAATAATATTCTCAAATTTTTATTTTTATTTTTTGATAAAGGGTTTTATTTATTTATTTATTATTTATAATTATTTTATTATTAATTTGATAAGAGTCAGGATAGAGTGAACCAATGGCAAGTTGATATATATATATATTTAATCTCTCAAATAATTTTTTTTTTTTTTTGATAAAAGGGTTTTTTTTATTTATTTTAATTATTTTAGTTAATAATTAGGTCTGAATGATAGTTTGTGGTAGCTTGTCTCTTTGTTGACTTGTAAACTCTATGAATCCCACATCAATATTTTGCTTTCACACTTGTTCATGATATACTTTTAATCTTTTCATTTTCTTAAAAAAAAAAAAAAAATTGTCGCCCACAATTAAACATTCACGTTTTATTAATCTCGTATTTATATTTATCCTAAAAATTATTCATATATTTATCTTGTTTTTTTTTTTTTTCTCTTGAAAGGTGACATTTGGGGTGGTGGTTTGTCCAACGTGTAAAATGGACCTAATGATTTTAACTTGGTTTGATTTGGACTATTGTTCTTGAATTGAGCCAATTTTGGATTTAATTGTGTAGAAATTTTGATTTGGTTTAGGGTTGACTTCCCATAGGAGACTTTTGTATAATTTAAATTTTATATTAAAAAACCTAATTTTATTTAGACATTTAGAAATATTTAAAATTTTAATGGAGTAATTTAGGATGGGGTTTATTAAGATACAAAAATACTAAGTTTATAACACATCTTACAACTCTAACGTGACAGTATAATTGACACTACAACGTCAACTGATGACTTTGACTAAGTATAAATGTCGTTTCTTAAAGACAACGTTCATTCATAAATAAAGGTTATTTAATTCATAAAGAACGGTTGTTTCTTCATAAAGAATAATTGTTTCTTCACGGGGAACAATAATTCCTTAAAAAGGAATTTAGGATGGGGTTTATTAAGATAACATAAATACTATGTTTATAACACAATCTCACAATTTTCTTTTATAACTTTATGTGGCAGTATAGTTGACACTATCACATCATTGACGACTTTGACTAGGCACGAATGATCGTTCCTTGGAGCACAAACATTCATTCATAAGGAATGTTGTTTTTATTCTAAAGAATAGTTGTTTCTTCATAAAGAATACTCATTCCTATAAAGGAACGGTTGTTCGTCCTTAAGAAACGACCGTTCTGTTGTTTAGTCAAAGTCATATATACATTGGATGTGGTGGGAGCTGATGTGATAGTTGCCAACTCGGGAGCCACGTTGGGGTTATAAGGAAGATTATGGACGTAGTATTACTCTTAAATAAACTATGGGGGCCAATAGTACATTATTTTTTTCGATAATAATTTTTGAGTTGCATTTTAATATTTTTATTATTGAAAATGTGTCTAACATACTATTTAAAAGCTGTTTTTTGATTAAAAATTATAAAAATAATTGTAATTGCTTTCTGATTTACATTTTTTAGATGTTTTCGAAAACAATACTACTTATTTTATAAGAATATTCATAATATCTTCTATATTCTTGTTTCTAAAAAAGAAAAGAGACGTATTTAAATTCTATATGGAATAGTTATGTGATTTTATAGTATAATGTCATTTTCTTAGTACTAATGATATGTTCCATTATTTAGAAAAATGTATATATGGAATATAATATTATTCAACAAATGTGGGAAATAATGATCATGAAAGTTTAGTTTGGGGGAAGAGAATTCATCAAAATGATTTTCTACCAACCAAACATGACTCTAAAAGTCTTTATATCTAATCTCTTTCTCTCCCCGCTTTGATTTGGATTCCATGGAAAGTTTTTTTATTGGAAGGAAGAAGGAAAGTCGATTCCACTAACTATCAATCTATTCATTTCCACATTGAAATCAAAACACTTCACCATTTACAATTATATATATATTTACCATTAGATAATATTAAGATATTGTTTTTAATTGATTTATTAAATTAATTGTTTCAAGAAATTAGCATTTTTTTTTTAATTTTTTGTAATAGTTTTGAAAAGGTTGGATGTACATGGTAAGTTCTTTTGATTAAATTTTTTCTTTTATTCAATTTCTAAAAAATATTTAAATATATTGTTTACAAGCTTTTAGTTTTATATATGTTGCATAATATAATCATAATGAAATAATCCCCCTAAGGTTTCCGAAATAACATAAATTCTTCTGCTATTATGAATTGTTGATGAGTCGTTACAAATTATATTGTTATAAGTTAGAAAATTACCGTTGCCCTTTTACCGTTTATTAAACATCTAAAACTTAATGGCAAAAAGATTTCTATTATTTTCGAAATCTCAGAAGGATTTTTTTATTATATAACAACTTGTGGAAATAAATATTATTAACTATAAACTATATGTTAGTGAGAAAGTACTATACTTTGCTAGCTTTGCTCCTTCAGTTGTGTGGAAGCTATTGATCAAATAAGCAGTTGCAGTACCACTTGGATATGTCAACTTAAAGTCTATGATCATTATCTGACCAAACATTCATCAAAGCAATCAAGAATTGACAAAACTATAGTCAAGATCAAGTTAGAAAATGTATTTATTCAATCGTCTTTCTGGTCTATTTCAAATTTATATGAAGAGTGTACCTTTCGGAGAGGCACCACAGAGAAAAGACCAAGAAAGCTGACAATGAAGAGAAAGCCAATAATCCATCCTAGCGAAGGGTTTTTGAAACCATGGTTGGAGTCTTCAGATTGCACAGCAATTCGCTCACTCAGTCCAAAGAGGTAACTACCAAAACCTCCTGTTTGTCCACAGATGAGAAAAATACAGAACTTTCAACACATGAATATGATATCATTTAAACTTGCAGCTCACTTACATTCCATTTTAGATTTTCATGAATAAGCACATAATCAAGTAGCAATGCCATAAAAAAATTTCAGGCTTTGAACTATATTTTTATACAATAACCAATACAGAAGTTTACATAGGGACAATTTTGGTGGAGTTACATCCAAAAATCAAATAAGAAACTAAATTGTTTCTAGTTCTCTTTGGACTGAGAACAAGTGTGGCCACAAGAAAATATTTGTGTTCGCATTAATCTCAGTTCACTTTCAGTATGTTCTATAAACCTTTCTGCATATTTTTCAAAGCATCAACCTCAGTCCAAACTCAATAATTTGTAAATGCATTGCTATCTGATTGCTTGTTCACAAGCTTTCTTTTTCTCAAACTTTCAAGAACTTGTTTGTCACAAGACAACTATAAAACTAGTGCACATAAGACATGACATTAATTTGGGTAAAAAGAAAAGAAGATTGATCCTAAAAAATCTCCATTGATTTACATATTTTATTGTTCATTTGAGAGTGAAATGGAGCTGAAGAAAAGGTAGTCATATCATAGGACCATGTGCTCTGCTCCTCACATGCCAGCACACATAATGACAATATTCCAATGCCATGCCAGCCCAGGATCTAAATTTATTGTTTTTATCTTCTGTTTTGGTTTTTTATATACATTTTCTTACTGCAAAGAGATGATTCCATTAAAGAATATACAAAAGAGAAATGGAGAGAACACAAAAAACAAAAAATTCCCTTCTTCGACATTTACATTAATCCTAATTTGTCAATTATCACTTGTCAATCAATAAGGCTGAGACGGGTGTATCACACGCACATCTACTTTAAAAATCGTAAATTATAATAGTAATAACATAAAAAAAAAATATAAGATTTTATTAGATAAACATATGAATATCGTGTGTAACTTAGGGACTTCGCTTTTCTTTTATAAGTTCATGCTTTTAACCTGGACCTTCATTCATTCTTGGGACCATTATCATCCCCACACTATTGCTAGTGGAGCCTAACAAAGACAAAAGCAACAAGAGGAAGAACTTTTGATTACAAAAGTATGATATATGAAAGTTATCTACAAAGTGTTCACACACAATTAAAGAACCCAAAATAGAAAATTCTGTGATGCTGATGTACTCAAAGTGACTTGATGACTATAAAATTAGGTGGAGTGGCTCCAATACTAGCCGTCTTAGACTATTTTAAGTTCCCATTCAAACTGGTAGTCCAGCTAATTTACACGCTTTGAAACTCAGAAATTGACTTTGAAAAACCGGCATAAAAACCCCACCTTCTGGAGATTTTGGTAAAAAGCTAAAAAAAATGACTTTTAGGCTTCAAAACCCCGTTTTCTCCATCAAAGTTTGGAATTAATTTATAGTCAAATCTTCTACTGACAAGTAACATCAAACTAGCCTTAAATCATTTAAACAAACATGTAAAAGTTGAAACTTTTCACACAAATTATGACAAGTTTTCCACAGAAAATTTACTGTTCAAACGAGATTCAAACATGAGACTAGATTAGATCATTAAGTAAAGGAGAAAGAAAGAGGCCGCAAATTAACATTACCACTGAAGGCTATGCCGGAAGAGGCCACAACACAGGTTTGAATGACTGTATTCTCCTGCCTGGTAAAGGGTTGCCTTAAAAGACTAGATTTTTCAAGAAATTTAGTCCAAGTCTTGACAAAGAAGAACCCCAGAAGGCCGGCAGAGACATTGAGAGAAGGAATAATACCAGTAGTGAGATTCAACTTCATGACTATGAAGCTGAAAAGTATACTCAACACAAAGCTCACCACAAAGGCTCTCATTGTTAACTGTCCCCTCCATGAAGGAACCGGCCTGTTCTCAAAAGCTTTCTCCACTGAAAACTCCTCTTCTTCTTCTCTTTCTTGCTGCTTCTTCCCCTTCTTATCTTCTGAGTTGAAACCATTCTCAACTTCTTCTTGCTCATCTCTCCTCCTGAGTTGATTATCCATTTTTGTTTTGGTTGTCTAGATGAGAAAAGAGAGAAAGTATATAAATATTGGAGACGGGAATAATTGAAGATATGATAAAATGAATCTTTTGAAGATGACGATTTTATAGAGGAATTAAGACGGTAGTTGGACTTTTTAGTAAATGGAAAAACAAGAAAGAAGATGTTGTTATCACCTTTTGTCCTTTTATCACATCAACAGTGTGAAGTTCACTCAGGAAATAAAAGATGCTTTTTGAGTCCTATAAGTTTCACTTTTTCACAAATTCACCCCTTTAATGATTTGACATATATATATATATATATATATATATATATATGAGTAATGCTAGATGGTTCACAACTTAATCTCACAACGTTTGATGTGATAATTTGTCATTGATTAGCTTGGATAAGTAAAACCCATTTTACGAGCTGATCATTGGCAAACTGTCACATCGAAGGTTATGAGAGAACGATGTGAAATTGGATAGTAGACCTAACATTATTCATATAAGTCTATATATATTCACTATTAAAGAGGGGTGATATGATTTACATATTTTTAATTTTTAATTTTTAAAAAAGCCTCCCATAAAAGGGGTAATTTGATATTTTTTCTTTTAAAAATAATATTCTCAAATTTTTATTTTTATTTTTGATAAAAGGGTTTTATTTATTTATTTATTTATTTATAATTATTTTAATTATTAATTTGATAAGAGTCAAGAGATAGAGTGAACCAAATGGCAAGTTGATATATATATATATATTAATCTTCTCAAATAATTTTTTTTTTTTTTTTGATAAAAGGGTTTTATTTATTTATTTATAATTATTTTAGTTAATTAATTAGGTCTGAATTGATAGTTGTGGTAGCTTGTCTCTTTAGTTGACTTGTAAACTCTATGAATTTCCACAATCAATATTTTGCTTTCACACTTGTTCATGGATATACTTTTAATCTTTTCATTTTCTTAAAAAAAAAAAAAAAAATTGTCGCCCACAAATTAAACTATTCACTATCTTATTAATCTCGTATTTTATATTTATCCTAAAAAATTATTCATCTATTCTTAATATGGTAAATACAAAATATCTATATTTATCTTGTATTTTTTATTTCTCTTGAAAAGGTGACATTTGGGGTGGTGGTTTGTCCAACGTGTAAAATGGACCTAATGATTTTAACTTGGTTTGATTTGTACTATTGTTCTTGAATTGAGCCACAAATTTTGGATTTAATTGTGTAGAAAATTGATTTGGTTTAGGGTTGACTTCCGATAGGAGACTTTTGATATGAATTTAAATTTTATATTAAAAAACCTAATTTTATTTAGACATTTAGAAATATTTAAAAAATTTAATGGAGTAAATTTAGGAGTGGGGTTTATTAAGATAACATAAATACTATGTTTATAACACAATCTCACAATTTTCTTTTATAACTTTAATGTGGCAGTATAGTTGACACTATCACATCAATTGACGACTTTGACTAGGCACGAATGATCGTTCCTTGGAGACAAACATTCATTCATAAGGAAATGTTGTTTTATTCATAAAGAATAGTTGTTTCTTCATAAAGAATAATCATTCCTTATAAAGGAACGGTTGTTCGTCCTTAAGAAACGACCGTTCGTGTTTAGTCAAAGTCATATAGTACATTGGATGTGGTGGGAGCTGATGTGATAGTTGCCAACTCGGGAGCCACGTTGGGGTTATAAGAGAAGATTATGGACGTAGTATTACTCTTAAAATAAACTATGGGGGCCAATAGTATCATTATTTTTTTCGATAATAATTTTTGAGTTGCATTTTAATATTTTTATTATTTGAAAATGTGTCTAACATACTATTTAAAAGCTGTTTTTTGATTAAAAAATTATAAAAATAATTGTAAAATTGCTTTCTGATTTTACATTAGTTTTTAGGATTGTTTTCGAAAACAATACTACTTATTTTATAAAAGAATATTCATAATATCTTCTATATTCTTGTTTCTAAAAAAGAAAAGAGACGTATTTAAATTCTATATGGAATAGGTATATGTGATTTATAGTATAATGTCATTTTCTTAGTACTAATGAATATGTTTCCATTATTTAGAAAAATGTATATATGGAATTATAATAATTATTCAAACAAATGTGGGAAATAATGATCATGAAAGTTTAGTTAGTGGGGGAAGAGAATATCATCAAAATGATTTTCTTACCAACCAAACATGACTCTAGAAAGTCTTTATATCTAATCTTCTTTCTCTCCCGCTTTGATTTGGATTCCATGGAAAGTTTTTTTATTGGAAGGAAGAAGGAAAGTCGATTCCACTAACTATCAATCTATTCATTTCCACATTGAAATCAAAACACTTCACCATTTACAATATATATATATATTAAATCATTAGATAATATTAAGATATTGTTTTTAATTGATTTATTAAATTAATTGTTTCAAGAATATTAGCATTTTTTTTTTAATTTTTATGTAATAGTTTTGAAAAGGTTGGATGTACATGGTAAGTTCTTTTGATTAAATTTCTTTCTTTTATTCAATTTTCTAAAAAATATTTAAATATATTGTTTACAAGCTTTTAGTTTTAAATATGTTGCATAATATAATCATAATGACAATAATCCCCCTAAGGTTTCAGAAATAACATAAATTCTTCTGCTATTAATGAATTGTTGATGAGTCGTTACAAATTATATTGTTATAAGTTAGTAAAATTACCAGATTGCCCTTTTACCGTTTATTTAAACATCTAAAACTTAATGGCAAAAAGATTTCTATTATTTTCGAAATCTCAGAAGGATTTTTGTTATTATATAACAACTTGTGGAAATAAATATTATTAACTATAAACTATATGATTGTTAGGGCCAAAAATCGTCTTGGGCTTGACGGGGCCCACTAACGAAATAAACATGTCACGGCCCAAGGCCTCAACCCAATCCCGATTGGGTCCACGCTTAAAATCACCTTGCGACCTACCCACTCTATGCGTTGGGCTATCCTATAAGTTAAGCTAAACTGGGTTTCAGCCCATTAGCCTGCAACAGAGTATAAATAGGAAATCAGAATCTCATTCTATTTCCTCTTCTACTAAGATTTCAAATCTCACTCAAACTATTAAACTTGATCTGATAAGGTCAAGAAATCATATCTCTTTCATGATAGGGATTATCTCCCAAAATAGGACTTAGTGTCCTACTAAGATTCCAACTCTTATTTAAACTATTAAACTTAATCTGATAAGGTTAAGAAATCATATCTCTTTTATGATAGGGATTATCTCCCAAAAGAGGACTCAATGTCCTACTAGGATTCCAACCCCTTAGGTTCACTATAAAAACAGAGGCTTGCCCTCTCATTAAGCATGCAATCTCTCACAGTCAATCTACACCACTCAAAACCATCTATTTGCTCCTAAGTTCTTGCTCCCAAGAACCCGACGCCTCCGCCGTAGTCCTAGCCTCCGACAAGACTCCTGGTAATTCTTCTTCTCCTTAATTCTTATTAAATCTCTTTCAGCCTTGCTGACTTGAGCGTCGGAGTGCCTACGGCAAACACCACCTCGGTGTTTTCCGGAAGCTTCACGCTTGCCCTTTCATGTGTGCAGGTCTAACGGATTGTCAGTGACCTCAACCTCACGGGATCACACCCTATTTTCATGACGGTAGATTTTTTGCATCTACAATGATATGGTGACCTAACAAGCTTTAATATACTATTGTTTATTGAGTAATGCTACAGTTATCGAAGGGTGTGCATCGAATTTGTGCACCGAATGACGTGACGAAATCCTGACCATTGATTCATTATAAGTTAATATTAATCAACGGTCAGGATTTGTTACGTCATTCGGTGCACAAATTCGGTGTGTAATTTTCGGTAACTTTATCATTTTCCTTATTTATTTACTTTTCTATTAATAGATTCTACATATATATCGTATTAAAAATAACTTTTTTTATTAATATTAAAAAATATCGTATTAAAAAATTTATGCTAAAAACACATTAATTTTTTAAATATATATTTTTTTGGTTAAAGAAATTTGAAAAATCAATAATTATTTAAAAGTGCCTAAGTAAGAAAAATAATAAAGGAAGGAAAGCGAAAACTAAATTATAAATACGGATGAATCGTTAAAGCTTTTTTTACAAGATTTTATGGGAATTATGATAGTAATTTAGCAAAACAAAATAAAAAATAAAGATAAATTAGTGTATGGTAAAAAAATAAAGTTTGAAAATTTAAGATTATATAATATTTTCGAAAGTGAAATAAAGAAAAACATTAAGGGGATTAATTATTTTAAAGGGGGCACAATGTAATTAATTAAGAATATCAACGTGCTTTCCCATGTGCGTAGGTCCGCTCCTGCCGGTCATAATCATTTCCTTCACGTGATCACATAACTGGTGACATTATATAATTATATCGTAGTCGGTAGTTCTATCTCATATTAAAATGGTTATTTAATAAAGGACTTTACCGAGATATTTTTCCCACCCAAGATTTCAAAACCCTACACCCGCTACCTTTTCTTACAAACTTTCTCTTACAATCTCAACGTGATAATTTATAATTGATCAGTTAGTAATAGATCCCACCTAATAAATTGTAATTGATCAATTATGAGTTGTCATGTAAGAATTATGAGAGAAAGTTTGTGAGAAGAGGTTATGGGTATAACATCATTCGGTTTCAAAAACTATCAACTTTCCATCCAACGTTAGTATCCGCTAGTGAAATCTTACCCTAACACAACTACATTGGAGAAAATGACAAAAATGCCCCTAAGACATTGGCATTTTTTTAGATTAAATATTATGAGGACAAATAATTACCAA